AAGAAGTAAATTACACAGAGGCAGAAGAGAAATTGTTTTATTTGTAACAGAGTACTGCCACTTTCTCTAATTACATATATTGTTCTATATCCTGAGGTAATAGTTATGGAATTATGTTCTCTCAGATAGATTTTCCCATTAGTCTGGAGTATCTTGAATTCTGTTGCTTCAGAGCAGCTCTTCATACTGCTTGTTGAACAGGCATGTAGTTGTTCTAACAACCTGTAATAAATGAGCTCTCTGCATTAATTAGAAATCTATTCAATGCAATTCAAGGACTTCCCTCTTGTACTTTCATTCTTTGACCTGTTTCCATGGAATTCTTTCCATATTCAGAAAATTTTACAGATTGTCAAACTGTCGGCTAATGCTGTAATGAATAGTTCTAATTATATTCAAGTAGCAGAGAGCGTTTCCATTTTAATCAAATCTGATTCTTGTAAGCTATTTGGCAGGATCACAAGATAGAGCCAAAGAAAAGGAGGAAAGTACTGCCAAACTATGAGTAACCTTTTTATTCTAGATTCTGCTTGTCAACACACTGAATACTTAACCACTTAGAGAATGCTTGCTTTTGTTTTTGAAGTAGCTTCTGTGGCTTCAATATGTACCCCTCTAACAATTTCAGCTAAAGGTTAACTAGTTAGCTCATTGCATCACAGTACCAATCAGTAATTCAATATCTTCTTAATATTGTCCTACTCAAGGAGGACCATTTTGCAAAATAAAAATTCTGATTACATATAATACTTTACATACCTGTAAAATCTACATCTCATAAGCAAGTCAAATGTTTTTATTAAATATATATGGCAATTTCCACATAATTGGAAAATAGCTTGTTTTTACTATCAGTTGTTATATTACTGATTCTATATTTAGGTCACTTCAGGTGTTGCACTAAAATCTTTCCTTTAGGTGGAAAACTAAGGTTCTTACTGAGCTTTGGCAACAGTTACTTCAGAAAGCTCACAAAAAGAGCATGGAGGCAATGTTTCCAGATATCAAATATTGTTTCTATAAAATATATTGCAAGTGGAACATGGGGGAATTTTGATTAGGGAAAATGTTCTTGCATCCCCCTGTTTCAGTGTTCTGAGCAATTTATTCTTAAATTTAGCTAACTGGACACAAAAAAGTAGAATAATTGGTCATTTCTGAAAATTGCGATTGACGTAAAAGTACATAAAAATAGCTTGATATGAATGCTACTAATTTATTGAATGCATAGAATACAGAAGAGAAATCCATAAAAAAGAGCTGTCTTTTAAAAAAATAGCACACAGAAAAGGCTTTTATTTAAACTATTTGATAGGTGGGCCCTCAATTATCTTTAACTACACAAATACACATAGAGTCATGGAGTTGGAAAGGACCTTGAAGGTCTTCTAGTTCAACCCACTAATGTAGGCATGGAGCCAAGAGGTGGGTTGCTGCTGGTTCAGCCCAGTTCAACCAAACCGGTAGTGGAATTCAGGTCTGTGTTGCAGAATCGGCAGTGACCCAGGCCTGACACCCCCCTGAACCAGGTCTCCGGTGTCTTCTGTTGCTGCCGGCATTGTTCTGTGCATGCACAGAGCAATTTTTAGTCAAATGCAAATGTGCAAGCAATGTGCAGCCGGCACACGCAGAACAAACCAGTACTAACTGGTTTAGGAACCCACCCTTGCTGGAGCCTCATACAAATATCCAGATCAATGGCCGTTTAACCTTTGTTTGAAAGCCTCCAGTAATGGAGTCCCTTGGTTTCTTGAGGCAAACCATTTGTCTGAAGTGATGTAGGGTTTCCTGCCCGAGCAGGGGGTTGTGGACTAGAAGACCTCTAAGGTTCCTTCCAACTCTGCTATTTTATTCTATTCTAAACATAATTCATTTTTTGATCTATGTTTATGCAAAATGAAAAAAATAGTACAATCTATCAAAAACAATACAATAAAGACAGAACAGAAATATGTCAAAATACACAAGAAAATGGTAAGACAACATCTATGCATTCTAGAAGTTCTGGTCACCAGGATCACCAGGGAATCAGGTCTGGAAAGACCTGATTTGGTTCCAATTTTCAAAAGGGGAATAAATAGATGCATGAAACTATAGAACAATCAACTTGACATCAATACCTGGGAAAATCTTGGAAAAGATAATCAAGCAAACACCTAGTTTTGCAAACACCTAGAAATGAGCAAAGCTGCTACTTAAGCCAACATGGATTTGTTAAAAACAGATCATGCCAGCAGTCAGCTGGCAAAACTTACTGCTTTCTTTGATAAAGTGACTAAATTAGTGGCTCAGGAAATATTGTGGACTTTGTTTACCTAGACTTCAGTAAGGCATTTCATAAAGTAGACCATAAACTACTCTTTAGTAAGATAGAAAAATGTGGGATAGACAGCATCACCACCAGAAGCATTTGCAATTGGCTGACTACTCAATCTGTAATCCTCAATGGAACAACATCTAAGTGAGGGAAGCATGGTGGGATACCTCAAATCTCTATCTTAGTCACTTCTTAACATCTTCATAAATGATTTCAACAAGGGAATAGAAGGAGAACTCATAACATTTGCAAATGACACTAAGCTGGGGTAGTGGGGAGAGCTAATTCTTGAAGATAGAACCACCTACAGAAGGATCTTGACAGACTTGCATACTGGGCCCTATCCATCAAAATACAATTCAGTTCTAAGAAAAGTAAGGGCTTACACTTAGGTAGGAAAAAACAAATGAAGAGGTATAGAATAGATGGTATCTGGCTCAATAATAGTGATTGGGAGAGGGACAGGGGTGGGTTCCTGCCAGTTCTAACCTCTTCTATAGAAGAGGTTCCACAAATGTACTGTGTTGTTTAGAACTGATTCCAGCTCCCTCCCCCTGCCCGTCCACACCATGGTTGCCCCGCCCGCCGCTCACTGATTGGCTAGCTCACCAATCGCCCCGCCCACCCCTAAGAGTCCTATTTAAACCTTAAAGTCTTAAAGCTTGAACATCCCTGGGTGTTTTTTCTAAAGGGTTAGGGGTGCAAGAGTCTTGTAACTTGACAGCTTTAAGACTTGCACACTCCAATGCCAGAGTTCCTGAGCCAACATGACTGGAGGAGGAATTCTGGGAGTTGAAGTCCACAAGTCTTAAAGCTGTCAAGTTTGAACACTCCTGGGGGGGGGGTTCTAAAGGGTTGAGGGTGCAAGGATCTTGTAACTTGACAGTTTTAAGACTTGCGTGCTTCAAATGCCAGAGTTTCTGAGCCAACATTTTGGTTGCTAAGCAAGAATGTTGTTAAATGAGTTTCACCACATTTTACAAGTTGGCCACACCCACCCAGTCACATGACTGACAAGCCACTCCCACTCGGTCACATAGCTGGCAAGATACTCCCACCCAATCACATGGCCAGCAAGCCACTCCCACAAAGCATGCCACACCTACAGAAGAGGTTCTAAAAAAATTTGAAACCCACCACAGGAGAGGGATCTAGGTATTCTAGTGGACAACCACTTAGTATGTGCCAGCAGTGTGCTACAGCTGCCAAAATAGCCAATGCAGTTCTGGGCTGCATCAACAGAAGGAAAGTATCAAGATCATATAAAGTATTAGTACTGCTTTATACTGGACTATAAGACCACACTTGGAATACCGCATCCAGTTCTGTTCAGCACAATACAAAAAAAGGTGTTGAGACTAGAAAGAAAGCAGACAAGAGTAACAAAGATAACAAGAGGTCTGTAACTAAACTGCACAATGAACAGTTAAGGGAACTAGGAATATCTAGTTCCTTGAATGAAAAAAAAAAAAGACTAGATGTGAAATGATAGGAATCTTCCAGGGCAGAACAAGACATTTGCATTTTTTTCATCAATATAAATAAATTAAAGAAAAGAAAATGAAATGAAATGAAATGAAATTACAAGTGTGGCTTTTGATAGCAATCATGATGATTCTTAGGTGCTTGGCTTTTCACATCTTTATACAGCTTGGGTTATGAGAGAAAGAAGTACAGGGCAGAAGCTTAAGAGGGACCTAGAAATGATGAACACAGTCCTATATCCAGCCAGTACCATTCCTGCCACAGTAGGCACCATGACTGTAGATGTTTTTTCATGTGAGGAAAAAGAATGACAGAAAAGCTAGAGGAATAAATCAATTGCATTATTTATTTATACAGTGTACAAGCAAATCAGGATAGCACCATCTGGTGGTAAGTCAGAATGAGCACAATTTCAGGTGAATGAGAATCAGCAAAAGGGACACCAAATTTCTACAGATGTAAGAATAGCAAATGCCATTGAGTGAGTACAATTTATATCTTTTTTTGTCCCAAGTTACCAAAATCTCCTCTGGTATCAGCCATCTGAAATTTACATTGTATTTAATCAGCTCACCTGTCAAAAATTGATATTGTCTTCTTAAATTTCTTACTCTTCTTGACACCTGTTTCAACACTACAATTTCTTTGCCTTCATATTGCAGAGGTTCATCTCTCGCTTTTTAAAGTATTTCAATTCTTATCATCTTCCCTGACAAATCTGATATGAACTTCTCTTGGGAGATTATGTCTTCTCACATAGGTTGTGTGTATTCAAAATATTTCATCAATCTCTGCTTGCATTTCTTGTTTGGTAATTCTGTCATTATATTAGGTAGGTATTTTCCTTTTTCTTCTTCTATGTTTTGGAATCTCAGAAAGTAAGCGGCCTTTTCCATCTGCAGCGAAATTACATTTTCCTCTACTTTCTTTTGTGAATTGCAAATAGAGACTGCAATATTTTTTTACAATATTTTTAAATACTTTTAACTATTTAACTACACAGTAACAATTAAGAATAGTGCAGCGGACTAGCAGCAGCATGGCCGATCAGCTAAGTAAAATGCTCAGATCAGCCAAGCTTCACAGATTGAACATGGGCCCTATCCAACAACATGAAATTTAATGTGGAGAAAAGCAAGGTTTCACTCCTAGGTAGTTTTGCATCTTGGAGCGAAGGGAGAGGACGCGACAAGAGGTGTAGCAAAGCAGTAACCTTTATTCAGCTCATAGTAACTACGATTCAACGTGGCGTGGTTCGCGCCAAACATTTATACCCCCAAGTTTGAACAATGAGCCAATAGGGCGTCGAGTAGCTCAACCAATCGGAGAGAGGGTTAAACCGGCTCCGCCCAAGAACCAATCAGAAAGGGAGACCTTACTTCCCGCGCTAGTATTCAACACCCCTCCCCCCTAGTCAAGGTACCCTTAGGAAGGGCAAACATAGTCTTGTAGATAGGTGGGACGGTGACGCTCTCGTCCCGACCTTCGTAATTCCCCGGCGGTTTTCGTCGAGGGGGAAACCGCCGGCGGCGGCGTGTCCGTGGCGGGGCGGTGAGTCTGCGGCGCGGCCCCAAGAGATGGTGCTGGCCCGGGGCCCCGTGCCCAGTGTCCATTTGTCCAAGGTGGCGTCTCCGTGGCAACAGGAGTGTCCGACAGTGGCCCCCTGCAATCTGGTTGGGATGTAGATTCAGAGTCTCGATAAGGGCTTCGCGGAAAGGAATAGCCGGATGAGGCACGTCTGTCCGAGAAGTCGGCTTGTCCCCCGTTCCCCGAATGGAGACAGTCCGTTGGGGAAAAGGTCATCAAGGGTAGCTCACGCTGAGAGCGAGTGTCTGAGAGGCTCGGGCCGTCTGCTTCCGCGGGGAGGCGTCGCCTTAACTGGTCCAGGTGGCGCCTCCATTGTGTTCCGTCGGCCAGACCGGCCCTGAAGGAACAGGGGCCAGTCAGAGCTGTGATGGTTGCGGGAACCCACCGTGGATCCCCGGAAAAGGAACGGGCCCATACGGGATCCCCTAACTTAAACGTATGGGAAGGAAGGGCCCCTAGGTTGCTCGGCAGATCCCCTGCATAAAGTGGATGTAGCCTATCTAGGGGGGTTCGCAATCTCCTTCCCATCAAGAGCTCCGCAGGACTTTTATTAGTCGTTGGGCAGGGTGTAGAGTGCTGGCTCAAGAGATACGCCGCCACTCTTTCCTGCCAGTCGCCCTGGTCCATGCGGCCCAAGGCTTCTTTGGCTGAGCGAACTGCGCGCTCCGCCCGGCCGTTACTAGCTGGATGATAAGGGGCTGTGGCTGCGTGTCTGATTCCTTGTTCGGCCAGGAATTCTTGGAACGTGGTGGAGGTAAACTGGGGCCCATTATCTGAGACTATCCCATCCTCGTCGCCAGTTTTGCATCTTGGAGCGAAGGGAGAGGACGCGACAAGAGGTGTAGCAAAGCAGTAACCTTTATTCAGCTCATAGTAACTACGATTCAACGTGGCGTGGTTCGCGCCAAACATTTATACCCCCAAGTTTGAACAATGAGCCAATAGGGCGTCGAGTAGCTCAACCAATCGGAGAGAGGGTTAAACCGGCTCCGCCCAAGAACCAATCAGAAAGGGAGACCTTACTTCCCGCGCTAGTATTCAACAGGTAGGAAAAAACAAAGTACAGATTAGGTGAAACCAGGCTCAAAAATAGTAACTGTGAAAGAGACCTTGGAATCCAAGAGGATGTTCATGTAAACATGAGCCAGCAGTATATGGCATCAGTCAAAAAAGTTAATATAATCCTTGGTTGTATAAGCAGAGGCATAGAATCAAAATCACATGAAGTATTAGAACCACTTTATTAATCCATGTGGCACTCTCCCTGCAGCCCAGCTGAACAGCCCTGACCTGCCTGTGTGAGCTTGCAAGCAAGCCCTGAATCCCGGCCTAACTGCCTCCCATGTGGCCAAGCCATATTGCCTGCCTTTCACCATGGCCTACCATGTAGCGGCCATGACCCAGCTCTCTGCCTCTGCCTTCCTTCACTGATCTCTGCTCCTTCTTTCTCATCTAGACTAGACTTGCCCAGCCTTGGCCTGCTCCCACCTCATCTAGCAGCAGAAGCCTTGAGGCAGACGTAAGTACGGCCAGTGGGTGCCCCCTCGTGGAAGTGAGGCTAGGAAGGGTTATCTTCTCCAAAGCCTCCCATTTCTCTCATCGTCCACGTCCTACTGCTTCTTGAGGCCTCAATCCATTCCTCTCCCTCACTGATGTAGGTACAAGTAAATCATGTGACCACTAATGAAAGCTCTTAAATTTTGGAAGTGCTATGTCCAGCTATTAGATTTTAAGATTTATTTGTCATCCTTTGATAAATTTTGATTTCCAAAGTGTCCAGTCATTTTTGAGTCATGGGCCTGTTGGAGGACAACGCTTTTTAGACTAGCAGGCACATAGAGCTTGGCTCCTACTCACGCAAGGCCATCCTGCATAGTGCACTCATTGGAGTGTAACTTGAACCATTCATCAATTGCAAGGCCTTCCCTCAGCCTCTTCGTCAAATCAATGGGCACCCACAAATCCATTTTCCCCTGGCTTCTGGTGACCACCGGAGCTGCTAGTTGTTTGGCAGGAATGACTGGATGAATCACCACCAACCTGGCAATGCTGTACTGGGATAGCCTGGACAAGACATCAGCCATAAAGTTCTTTCCCCCAGGGAGGTATTTCAGCGTAAAGTTAAACCTGTTAAAATGCTGTGTCCAGCAAACTTGTTTGGGTGATAATTTCCACGGGGTTTTTAACACTTCAAGGTTTTTATGATCAGTCTGTACCTCAAATGGGTGCTTAGCCCCTTCGAGGAAATGCCGCCAAGTTAGTAGGGCCCACCGAACTGCAAAAGCTTCTTTCTCCCAAATTGCCCATCTTCTTTCCGTCTCTTGTCAATTTTTGGGAGGTGTAGGCGCAAGGTTGCAGGTTGCCATCTGCATTTGTTTGAAGTAACACTGCCCCCACTGCCACGTAACTTGCATCTGCTTGGACCATAAATGGTGCATCCATGTCTGAGTGTTTTAAAACAGGTTCAGCTGCAGTCATTTCAATTTCTCAAAGGCTGCTTGGCATTCCATTGTTCACTTCAAAGGTTGACTAGGCCTTAGTTTTGCTTCTCCCTTTGACTTATAGAAGGTTCGTAATTGGCAGTGTAATACCAGCGAATGAGGGAATAAATTGGCGGTAAAAATTGGCAAATCCCTATTAACATCAAATCCTCATATCCTATTTTAGCTGAACATCCATAGTATTTAATACCAGAGATTCCATCTTCCATACAGTATAATTTATTATCATTCTCCCTTCTTTATATAGTTATATCATATATCATAACATTTTCCCCATATTAGTTAACATTTAACTGTATATATTTTATTTTATAATAGTAATAATTATTGTAATTAAAACCCTTTATATATAATCCAAAAATATTTCCGACCTTCCTTTCTCATATCCAATTATTATTTATCATATCAACTCCACATTATATACATTACTATCAATATCAATTATTATTCAGCTATATCTATTACAAATAAGAGTAATTAGATTTAGCTAGTTTTCAATTGTATTTTTCAATCTATCAGCCTATGTCTCTCCAATAGCAAAGTCCTCTTACCATTCTTAAAACAAGTTCCCCAAACGTTTTTATAGGCAAGTCCAAACAGAAATATCTTCGCACCTTTTTGCTTAGGATGCCTCCGATGTAATAATGTTGTCCTTGGTGTATTCCATTCAATTTGTCCTGAATTTTCAAAGGTGGTGTCAAAAATTCTGCAGATAATGTTTCATAAAGTACAGATTCTTTAATGATTCTCATTCCTTCTATGCTCTGTCTTTTGAAATAAATTTTCTGTATGGTTCCCCCTCCTCTTTCTGCCTCCGAAGTGAACCAGACGCCCGGCTTGTCAGCAGGTTGAAAAACTTCCTTTCTAACATTCTTCATTTGAATTTCAGGAGCATTCAAACATTCATTTTGCCTCTTTCCTTCATATTTTAGTGTTAAGGACAATAAATAATCTATTTTTTTGAGATTCTTTTTCTGATTTTTCATACGTATCAAACAACCTTTGAAAAGCAAAAAAAATCTTTTGAAATGAATCACTTGAAACAAGCACAAACGCCATGATGTGACGCAGAAGATATTCACAGATGAAGACACACTGAGAACTATGCAATCTTATCTAATCTTAGACCAACACAGCCAAGCAATAAAAGTGTCAGGTTATAAGAAGCCAAATTGTAATAAATTGGTTTACAGCCCACTTAAGGGAAGCCCGAGGCGGTGTTGAAATAAAGTAAACTTTTCTTTATCCACGTAAACAGCATTCAAAACATTTGAGAAGTAGAGTAACCACCAGCCATAAATCCATTAAAAAAAGCTGATTCGCCGCTGGATTCTTCTGTTCTTTGGTTTCAATTAGCTTAGATTTTAGCACAGACCGTCTCTCTTTGAGTAATAAAATCAGCTTACCAGGTGAATCCACTCAAACCATTCTTAGGGGCACCTGCAGTTTCGGTTAGCATGCAGCTAATCCAAAAAGGAATTGGCAAGAGGGGTTAATTCCACGCCCCCCCAGAGACTTTGCGATCGTCTCTGAGGTCACTGGATCTCCCCTCACCTTTCACTGTCTTCTACGGGACAGCTAGGGTCCAACGACCTGTCCAAAAATCCTTCGGAAGAGAGGAATTTCAGGAATAGCCTGAAACTCCATCTTCTCACTGCTAAGCCCCGCCTTCTTCTTAAATTTTTAATTTAATAAAAAAAAATTGGCAAATCCCAAAATACTTTATAGCTGATTGCAGGGGATGCCTATTCTGTAACAGCCTGGACTTTCTCCGGATCCATCTCAATACCCTCATGAGAAATGTGGTAGCCCAAATAATCAATTTTCTCCTGGTGGAATTCGCACTTAGACAATTTGACAAGTTCAGTGGCTCAGAGTTTTTTCAGGACTGAGCACACAAGTTTTACATGTTCCTCTAGTGTTTCAGTGTAGGCGAGGATGTTGTAAAGGTAAACGAACACCCCCTTATACAGGTGTTCATTCAGTACCTCATTAATCAACTGCATAAAAACAGCTGGTGCCCCCTGCAGTCCGAATGGGAGTACTCTAAACTTGAAACACCCCAGAGGGCAGTTGAAAGTGGTCTTCAACTTATCTCCTGCTTTTATCCAGATCTGTAGTTTGCCTCCCTTAAATCTAATTTAGTGAAAAACTTCTCTTTTGCCAATGAACTAACAAGTCCTTCATGAGGGGTAAAGGGTACACTTTTCCATGCAAATGGTGTTCAAGTTTTTGTAGTTCACAAATAAGTGAAGAGAGCCATCTTTCTTCTCTTGAAATAAGACAGGTGCGGCCATCCATGGCCTAGCAGGCTGGATGAACCCACTCTTTAAGTTTTTATCAATGAAGTTTGATAATTCCTCTAGTTCGCATGGGATCATTTAGGATTTCTATGCGGCAATCAATGGCGTGGGAAGGGAGAGCTTATCGGAATCCCTTTCACTGAAAGCCTCTTTGAGGTCCCAGTATTCTTTCAGAATTTTTTCCTCCCCCTCAATTTTTTCACGCAAAAATGCTACCAGGTCTGTCACAGCTCTGGCTAGGTGGGAAGTCTTCCCCTCACCTTTGTCAGCTTGACTGAACAGATGCATAGCCAGCCCTTCTGCCAGTTCACCTGAGGGTTCCATTTTCATAGTCAAGGTAATCCCAATATGAGGGGCCATTTCATCCCTGGCGTCATGATGAAACTCAAGGATTGTCCCCCCCACATCTCTACCGATTCGGTTACAAAATGGATCACACACACACACACCCAGCAACTGACCCATCCAACTGGCAAAAGGCAAAGAGTACTTTCATAGTTCTCAGTCTTAAACCCAATTTTTCCACCACCTTTGGGCTAATTACACATCGGGTGCAGCCAGAATCTAAATGGGCCAGCATCTTCCCCTGGGCACTGGTCGAGGATACTTTTAGTTCTACTGGGATGGTCATGGGGCCCATATGAGGACTTACCAAGAGGTCATCATTGGCGTCGGTTTCACTTTCTCCTGAAGGAAGGGGGGTTTCCTTTTTCCCCTGGCCTGGAGGAAGGAAATCAGATACTTCCACGCCTTTCATGGATGTTTCAAGGCATTTCCCTGGCTGCTTGTTGGGTTTCTTCCCTCCAGCTGAAGGTGGTTTTGGGCCAAGCTTAGAGTAGCAGTCGGTCCCTCCTTTCCACATCAGAAACACAATGTTGTTCTGGGATTGGTTGTTGACCCCTCTTTTCCTGCTCTTGGAGCCTATTTCAAGGTAGGAGGGTTTTTTTGCTGCATCTGCTGCCTCCACAATATCGATTTCTAGGTAGGTCAATTTCCACATCAGCAGTCAGCACATACCAACATTGCAGGTCATTGGGGGTGGTGGTGCTATTCACACAGTTCTGGTTCACAACATTGTTAAGGCCATCCATGTAGCTGTCCATCAATGCCTCCTGGGACCACCACCACATGTCCACAGCCAGTTCGCAAAACTCCTGAGTGTATTCTGCCACAGATCTCTGACCCTGGGTTAAAGTTTTCATCCTAATTCTTGCCTTCCGATTTTCAAGGGGATAATCAAAACGTGCTCTCAGGGCCGTCATAAACATATTGTAATCTCTCAGCTGGGGGGGAATCATCATTATCTAGAGCCACCATCCAGCCAGCTGCAGTGCCTTCCAATGCCATAGTAACATTTCTCACTTTGGCAACCACTGATGGGAAATCCTCTCCATACTCTTGCATGTAATTCCAAACTTGCACCAAAAAAAAAAAAAAATCCCAGTACTTTGGGATCTACCCTGTACTTCACTCCAAGAGGAGGAATCTTTTGAATTCAACACCTAAGGGGGGCTACTCCCCCCTTGGGAGAGCCTGAACTACTGCAGTGGTGTCAGCTGGAACTCCTCTGGCTTGCCTGGTTCCTGGAGCAGCTCCCAGGATCGATTCAGGGTTAGCCAGGGTGTCTGCTCCCCCCTTCGCCTGCTCAGCTGTTCCAATCTCTCTCTCGGTGTGACTTTGGCGCATATGGTGATTCCCTCAGGCCTCTTGCAAAAGTTGTCAAGCATGGGTCATCATGAGATCCTCTTTTTCAGCTTCCTACCAAGCGGCGGCTGTGGTCGCCAGCGGCAGTGGGTTGTAACTCCTGCCAGCATCTCCTCAGGATCATTCATCTGTCCCACTCCCAGTGACCATCTGGGTCAGACCTATTTTTCTTCCAGATTCAGTTCAATCATCCATTCTATTTCCAAGGGAGGAGAGGATCCAGCAGCCCCCACGTCCTCCTGGTCACTGCAGGGGTTTGATATGTTATGCACCCCCCATGATAGCTTTTAACTCCAGGATGTGTGCAAAGAGAGATCTTGCTTAATGTCAGGCGTCATTCAGTATCCAAGAAAGAAAATCCCCAATGCCATTTAAGTAGAGATAAAAGTACTTTTACTGGACATGAAATGAAAACAGATAAAGTGAAGCAAGATCTGAAGCAAAAAAGTGTGAAGATGTTCATATCAAGCGTTTACCCAGGACCCTCCTCCAGTTACCCGAACCCAATGTCCAATCTGCAACTCCCAAAGGTGTCATATGGGTGCATCTTTAAGAGGCCTCATTCAGCTAGTATGCAGAGATGGTTGACCTTGACCAAGCCCAAACATGAGCCATCAGCAAGCGCAGAAGATTGTGAGAACAAAACTCCCTTAATGATAACTCCTTCAGCACCTACCAATTTCCCTCCACCGAATACCACGAGCCCTTACCGCCCCTGTTTATTATGGCAACCAATAGCAAGCAAAGTAGAGGCTGACAAGATCTGGTTCATGGGCAATTTCACATCAGGAAGTAGATCAATGGGGCAATCCTAAGGTCAGTATGGTGGCAGTTGCTCCACTTTCTTTTCCCCAAAGACATCAGCACAATCCATAGTCTTTAGAAGGAGATCCAAAGGTTTGTTAAAAGGATTATCTGCTGTGCATACATGAAAACAATGGGGGTGGCACTTGGGGCTGTTGAAATGAATCACACTGGGCAACTGGACAATGTGTGGGTCATTGGTTTAAAGTCATTCCAAGCCAAGCACCAGCAGAATGAGGAGCAGCTGCTACGTAGTAGTTCCAAATGGTTATCAACCCACAGGTGAACTGGAGTGGTTGCTGCTTCCACTTGTCCCAGAGTAGCAGATTGTTTCCATAAGCAGAAATGAAGCCACTTCATGTTACAGGAAGTCGCACTTGACCACAAAGAGTGCATCCATACAATCTATAGTTGTTCCAAGTCCACTCTTGTGTGTACAAATGTCCACTCTTTCTGAAATGAGAAATAACCGACACCACCAGGTGCCCTGGCTGGCATGACATGGGGTTGCTGAGCCTGACTCATCATTTGGATTGCTGAGCCTGACACCCAGTCTAGTAAGCCTTCTAGGCTAGGATGCTGCTAGCATGGGCTTTGCCTACATACATACAGACACACATACAGACACACACACATACATAGATACACACACACACATAGATAGATAGATAGATAGATAGATAGATAGATAGATAGATAGATAGATAGATAGATAGATAGAT